GACTCTAATAGCAACTCAAGCATGCATACATGAACATACACAGGATAGACCCTGGAGACAACCTGAATAGTGTTGAACAGTAGCATGCATGTGTTACATGTGAAAGCACTGCCCTATGGAAGCTCGCAGGGTCCACATCTGGGATCATGGATGTGGTGGAGGAATTTCTGGAGCTTGGCCGGAATGTGCACTTGGCTGCATTTGGGGGTGTGCGTTGCACCATGTACACCACACACAAAAAACCCGGACACACACACACAACCAGACACGGACGCACACACATACACATGCACACATCCATATACACACACACGTGCGCATGCATGCACAGAGAGAGAGAGAGAGCCAGTGCCTGCAATCACACACACACATGCACACATGCACACACACACATGTGTGTGCACAGAACACATTTGAACACAACACATGCCATCACCCTGAAGTTCCCTTGTGTGAACCATTTTGGGCACCAATTGACAAACTTTGGAGGGTGGTCGTTGATCATGGTGGCCGCAAAACCAACTCTGTTCTTGGGTAAACAAAGGGGCCCCCCTTAGCAAATGGTCATGCTATCCACTTCCAAAGCCTAGAGGTGAGTGTCGTGACCATCATGAAGATGCTGGACATTATCAAGCGGCGATTTCCCACGAAGTATGCACCGAAACTTTGACTGTGAATATAGCGCTGGTAGATACATACAATAACTTGCTTGCTCCTATCAACTGGGGTTCGAAAGCATGTGCGTAATAGCTTGGAAATTTAAGCGACACACATGCATGCATGCACATATATATATATATGTCTACATAGGGATCGTCCCAACAAATCCAGTGTGCTTGCACGGCTGATCCGGCTGAGGAGGAATATGCAATCACTCCTGAGCCACTTTGACAAGGACAAGACAAAGAACATCGGAAGAACGTTTTGGAGGTGGCTGGATAAGCAGCCGTGGCGTCGAATGCTGCCAGCTGTCCATCAGACATTTGTCTGCAACTATAATGCGCGCGCATGCGCACAAACATGAGTGGAGCATGGTTGTGTGCTCAGGGTGGATGTGCCATTGGTGCCTTGGCGGTTCAAATATGAGTGTGTGTTGTCCCCAAGATTCCTCTAAGCTGGTTGCAACTCAGGGTGACCCGGGTCTGCTTGACGAATTCTTCATGGGCAAGTGGGACATGATGCTTCCAAGCAATGTGCCCGCAGCCTATGTTTGCTGCACACGCTTCACCTTTGGTATGTTGAGCATGTGCACGGGTCAGGTTTTCCAGCCTTTATCATTACCATCCCAAACTATTTGAGATGCGCTTGCTTGGCCCTCCGGGTGTTTCTTGAATGCACACAGTACAGCTGTGGCCGTAAAAATTGCCAGCATTTGTCCAACGAGATGCTAGGCCCTTCAGGACTTCTGGGCCGCCAATCATGATGCACCGTGGCTGCTGGCTCATCCATATCGGTCTCAGCTGGACCTAAATCGAACCATACCCATATTCATCCACGGGGACGATGCGGAGTCTCACCGCCGTCGCAGCTTTATGGTGGTGTCGTGGGGGTCCCTTTTGGTATCTGGCTGCAGCCCGTTTGACTCCAATATGCTGGTGTTTGCAGGAGACAATGCACAGTGCCTCCACGAGACATACAACGTGCTCAACTGCTGGTTGTGCTGGAGTTTGACTGAATTGTTGTTGGGCACATTTCTCGACGTGGACCCTTTTGGATCCCCGATTCAGCGTGCTGGACCTGGTGGCCGCCAGGTGGCGGGTGGCTGGAAGGCGGTGCTGGCCTGCCACAAGGGGGATGAGGCCTATCTCCAGAAGGCCTACAACATGGTCACTACCTGGAACAGTGAGTCGGTGTGCTGGCGATGCGGGGCGTCAAAGGGTGCAAACACTGAGCTAGTGTATACCACGCATGGTCCCAACGCGCCTCATCGAGAAACGCCGCATGGCATGCATTCAATTCAAAAATACGGAGAGCTCGATCCAATAATTGCTGATGCGCACTGCAAGTGCATGCTCCATGTTCTACTACATTGGATTCCGAAGGCTGCTGGACACTGCGGCCTTCATCGAACAGGTTTGCCGTGAAAACCCCTTTGTAAGATTACCAGGGTTCCACATTGACCTGCTGCAGAATGATTGGCTGCATTGCGTCGACCTGGCTATCGTTCCGGAATGCGCCGGGTCAGTGCCCTGTTGCCATCGTACATGTGTGTAGCACGCAGCACTCAGCGCATGCCTCCACTCAATTGATGTTGTATTGTCTTAGGCTTTAATTGAGTTGGCCTCGACTGATGCTGTGTGGTCAGGAGTGTTGCTTGCAACTCATGAGCGAGTTTATTGTTGCACTATAATCAGTGCAGGATCTGATATGGATGCGCGGTTGCGCATTGCATACGTTCAGTTCAGAGGATACTGCAAGACCAACAAAGTTAGACGCTTGCAGAGCATACCGCATGCATGTTACCATTCATGCTGCTGGTGTTTGACTTGTCCGGTCATGAGGAAACAGAGGCCAAATTTTCAGCTTGCGCCTTTGGCTTTACTTTTGCTCCACAATACTGGACACGTAGTGTTCTTGGCCTAGGAAACACATCGTGGGTGATAAGACCAAGCGTGGTTTGCGTCGCTATCCCTCGTTGGCCCAGAAGCACTTGAATGCATCGGACCAGTGCTCAGCTCGAGGCATGGCAGTGGAACACACATGCACACACGCGCTGAGCTTGATCAGGAATCTGTGGTGTTGGCCAAGTTCCTCATGGACGTTTGCTTGAAAGTAGCTGCTAAAGACCCGAGTGACCACCATGCTGCGTTTCTCGGATATCGAACTGTTTTTTAGTGCATGGTGGTTCAACTATCAAACATCATTCCAGGCTCCGAGCTTCTCTTTTCGTCAACCTAGTGGAGATGCGACGGGCGCTGAAGTCTGCGAAGAATGGCATCCTCCCCCCCAGCGAAGTGGAGGCCTTGCAGCGTGCCAACTACTTGTTTCACTGCGCCTTCAACGGTTCCATGCCTGATTTGTATGCGTGTGTACATTGTGTTCTGCAAGCATCGGTAGTTGTGTTCAGCCATCGGTAGCGAGGTTTATCCAGTGATGCGATTCAGGAAGAACGACTTGTATACAAAGTGCGGCCAAAATACCATAAGCCCCACAGTGTGCATCATTGGGCGCAGTCCTGCGTTTTTTCCAGGCATTCGTGGTTCCACTGAGGACTGATCATATGTGCTATGATCAGGCACCGCGCATGTCGCCTTTGGCGACTGCCACATATATGGACGAGGATTATGTCCCTTGGTCTGATGTACAGCTCTGATTTGTGCGCTGCATGCAGCATACCTTGTTCCCTGCAGCAGTGTCGGTTCTTAGCTCAGGTTGGCAAGATCAAGCGGTTATCAATGCTGAGTCACCCAATAAAGTTGGGCCGTCAGGTTATGCTTAGGTGGGCTGCATTTTGCAGCGTCAGGTGGCTGAGCCAACTTGAGAATGCTTTGCGCTGATCCTCCAGCATCACCAGTATGTAGACATGTATGCAAGAACTATATATAAGTTAAATGATTCACGTACCATGTCTGGATGTTGGATGATGGAAGTGATGAATTAAACCGCTTGAATTGGGGTGCTTGCTAAACAGGCCAGGTGCGCGGTCCAAAAAGGCCGCCCGGCAGCTGCAGCAGCCGCAGCAGCAGCTTTTTGGGGAGACAGGGGTAGTTCTGGGTGGATGCAAAGGTTGATAGCTGGATGTGGTACCCTATTATATGCAAACCACATGCCAAATCCAGCCAACAACGTTTCTTCCATCCAGAATAGGGCATGGAAGATACGTGTATATACATTGATTTGACCCTAGCTTGATTTGCTAAGTGCCCTTGTTCGACCCTAACCCAAAAGTGCCCATCAAATAGAGGGCACTTACGAAAGGTACGAATAGACAGCCCTCGGAGGGTGCTGGTACAAGCTTACTTGTTTATTTAAACAGCTGGCGACAAGGCAAGGAAGATCAGGAGCCTGCTTCTGGCGTACGCAATGTCTGCTGATCACATGGAACTCATGCTCCCTCACAAAGCTCTTTCAAAGTCAATGACCATTGCAGTCATACAAAAAGCTTCGCGGCTTCTCGGCATGTCAGCGGCTGCTCCATTCTCGACTTTTGAGTTAACATCGCTCGTAAAGGCCCCTGCTTTGGAGACTCTTTGATGCTTTCCTGATCTGGCTTCCAACATGCTCCATGACTGCCATATTGTTTTTCGAGATTGACAACGATTAGCAGCAAATGGCTACGCACAGCAATTAATTGTCCATCCCTTGCCGGAATTCCTGGAGACGGAGACTCAGCCTGAGTAATTAGCCCAGTAATACTTGCCAACGTCACTTAATTCGTGGTGGATAGGGTGGACGGATTTTGCTTGACTTGGAGTAAGATAAAGGAGCGTCTGCATAACTCAGCAGCTGACAAATTACGCAGTAACCCGATGCCGAAACACAAAAAGGCGATGCCCTGGTCACATTGCCTGCCCTCAGCTGAAACAAGTGGTGGGGTTGATAGCTTTCGGCGTTTTGGGACCAAAATGGCTGAATTGATGTTGGAGTGCACCGCCTCCGGGTTGGTCTCTGTTCCCGTTGACTGCAGTTCAGGCTAAGAGCGGCTCTTCGGCCGCATTTCCACTTCATTTCCAGGGGCCTAGTGCCACCAAAAACAAGTGGAACCCTTTTGGGGGTTCATTGAACAAGGGATAGATCAAATATAGTGAGCAAAATCCTACACCAGTTAATGAAGAGCGCACACACACACACTCACACATACGCAGAAAAGGTTTTTAGAACCTGCACACGTAGAAGGGATTCTGATCGAGATCTGGGGGGCCCAATGTGTCTGCCTTCACCCAGCTGCATTCTTTGCTGGCTGGTGCATTGAAACCTGCCGTGTGCTCATGTCAAAGCAACCCGTCCACCAGCAGCAACAGGCCACTCGGGAAACCCCTCGAGGGCTTTCGCCAGGGCTCTTGTCTTGCCAATCCAGCATCAGCACCAGCTGCCGCACCTTCCGCGTGAAGCCCCGGCTCTCCAACTCCTGGAGCTGAGCTGAGGCTCTTGAGACATGCCACCCCGTTTCAGTTGCCCAATTCCCTAGGAGCCCTGTTGACCCATCTCCAGGCAGCGGGCCGACAGGCCAAAGCCATCCAACTTCGGCTGTCCAACTCATCAGTCCAGCAAACGGATTGGATGCGCTTTCTGTGGTTTCCCCATGTTGTTTGGCTAGTTGTTCCTTTTTCAATACTCTTCTAGTACTCTTTTGCTATCCTACAAGGGTGGATAGACAAAAACCACATCCAAACCGTTTCCTAGAATCAGTAGCAAACGATGTTCCAGTTCACCCGTTATCAAATAAGCCCTCCAATTACAATTCGAGTATGGCAGTCGGGAACCAACCTGAGTTCAAAGCTCCAATACACAGCCTTCCAAGCGTCACTCTCAAACCTGTGTTTTCTCGAGCTTCTTTCATCGCAAGTGACTGCGCGAAATGCCCTTCCTGCTCCGAACAAACTGCCGGGCGGGAAGTTGTCGAGTGACCCTTTTCAGCCAGCAACCCGCACACTCCATGTTTGGGAGTTAACCTTTATCTTCAAGCCTTTCGAGCAAGTGAGTTACGGTTGGGAAAAGCACATGTTTAGTGTTCCTTCCCACCATTAAGCACAAAGGGATGGTGAACTTAGCTCCGGTCAGAGCGGGTGCTACATAGGTCTGGGCAAATTGGCGCACATTGTCCCTCCCCTTGCGAGTCTTTTCTCGCAGGGCTCGTAAGCCCAAACCCGCAGAGCCGAAGGCTTGGCCCGGGCCTGCTGAATCTGACCCTGGGAGAGCTTCTTGCGGCGCTGGCCTGGCGGGGTGAATTCGTTGGCTTCCAATCTGCAAGGTTCGAACACACGGCACGCATGACCTGCAACATTCTACATAAATGACTGCAAATGACAAAACCATATCGAGCTGTTTGCATTTACTGTATAAGTTTCGCTGTGGAATTTGCTGCGAATATGTGCTGGAAGAAATGAGGTCATTGGCTGCGGTAGTTCAAGTCCTCACGCACGATCACTTTCTCAAAATGTAAGCCGCTGTTCTGTTGGAAGAGCGGGACTGGTTGTGACTATATGGCCTTCTTGAAGAAATCAAAATGAGTGTGCCAATTCAGAACGCAGGCTATCTCGCCAAGATGGGCAGTGAAAATCCACTTGGAAGGCCACTGCCTTAGAGCTTGGATTCCCAAGACGCCATGATTGAACATTTTCCCATATCGTAGCTAAACCCTGACAAACATCAAGTAGAACAATGGTGCAAATCGCCAACGGACATGTTGCAGCGTCGTAGGCGTACTTTGCCTGACATTGACAAATAAGTTTCAGGTGCGGTGATTTTTGCAAAAGGCTCTTGCTTATATCGCCTTTAACCCAAGAAGGCCCACACCAGAAATACATGGAGACGTGTTTGACTCAAGCGCAGCGCTCTAGGTGCCTGTGGCTGTTCAAACCGTTGACATAGACCACACAGCATATTCAGCTGGCGGAAAGCCTCACCCAAAAAGGCTAAGTAAACATGAAGCCGTGAGCGCAACTTGTGATGGTAATGGCAGTCCCTTTTTGCTCGGACTGGGTTCTTTCATGGCAGGTCCAACATCAGCCGTGGTTCAAGCCACCAAGCGCTTTGCAATTGCTTGTTATTCCCCAACAGCGACAGCTGCGGGGTCTTAGCCGTTCTGGCTTTTCTGTGACCCTGCGGGTTCCAGGAGAGTTGTGGTTCTGAGGAACTCTGGCATGCTTCTTAGCTTCCGAAGGAATGTTGACCGATGCTGTTGGATACTCCTTGCGCTCATGTTTCTGGCTGAAGCTGTCTGAGGATCCGCAGTCCAGCCATATATAATTGAGATCTTGTCCTCCGTACCTGGCAGCCACACAACCTCCGCATTTTCAATACGTTCTGGTGGCAGCCCAGGAAAACTGTGACTTTTGGATGATGAGCACCATTCCGATCATGAATCGGGGTATGAGGAACAAGGGAGAGCACAAAATGAATATATGCGAATGTCAGACCACGCAAAGGAAACACACACACAAGCCAAGAAAAGTGAAGCTTTCCAAAAGCAAGCCGAATAAAGGCTGTACTCTCTGCACTGCGGAACCCAAGAGTCATATTCCTACAAGCTTCTTAACCAGCTCGCGCCATACACCGTCGGGTCGAGCTTTCTGCCAGGTGTCGGTCGAGAACGTCGAAAGCATCGCTGGGCTTCTTGGAGTTCTCCACTTGGGACACTGCCCACCTCACCAGCTGCATCCAGGGACCGGCTCAAAGGGGCCCGTAAAAGGGGCTGACTCGGAGGAAGTGACCGGGGAAAGGGACGTGGAATCGTGCAAGGGTATCGTTTCTTGTAAGTTCCCCACCGCCTTCACTGCAAATTGAAGATAAACCTGTACAACATGAAAACACTCATTTCAATCAGGTCCATGGAAATGTCGACCGCTTTCGCTTGCAGCTCATGCACGAATCAAACTCAAAAGCATGTAGCAACTTGAAAAGAGCTTTGGCACGGCACCACCAAGAAATCAAGGGAGGATAGGAGTCCTAGTGACTTCCTCCCCCGCTTTGGATTTCCCTGTCCTAGGAAAAGGAGCCACAAACCGAAACAAGTTCCAGCTGCCTCATGGGACCGGGGGGGGGTGTTAGGGATGCCCGCAAGTCAAGGTCTTGACAGGCCAGGGCCATGCCACCCACGTGGACCCTCGCGGAAACTCTGCCATGGACTTCCCCCGGTAACCCGAGAGAGGCACTCCCGAAACTGCGCGAGGACCTGCGCGGAGTAGGGGTCCAACCTCGGGACCGCGACGAACGCCACTTGTAATGGTGTGATTGTTTGGTGGGTCGGTTGAATTCTCTGAATGATGGATCATCATTTTCGGATGGATGGATTGATGAATGCATTCGTTGATTCATGGATTTAAGGATGGATGAATTGATTGATCGGAGGTTTGTTTGATTGACAAGATGTTGGCTGCTTGGTTGCGAGGATTGACTATTACCTTGAGAATGCAGAATGAGTCCGAAAGATCCTGGAAACATGGATGCAGCATGTTAAGGTCGGACGCGATTCGACGAGGCTAGTGAGGGGGGTCATCTGCGGGGGTCTCAATGATTGATTTGGGCCTGGATGAGTCCCATTTGCTTTTTTTGCAGGCTCATGTTGCTTCAATGTCACACCACAAACGTGGACCCCTCGTGAGTGTCATTTCGAAAGATGATCAGCCAAACTGGCAAGTGCATTCAAAAGCCAGAGATATTTCACAACCACTCACCTATGCCTCAATCATTTCATTCACCCAGGAAACCGAGGGCATCCTAGAAAATGAGGGCAACCCAAGATGCGTGGGAAATTAATCCGGGGAAGTTCCTATACAGGTGCAAGGCTCTCGGGTTTTCATTTGGAGTATCCTACGGTTGTCAATTTGTTCAACAAATTGCTTGCTTTCAATTCTGCCAATTGTCCTCTTGCCTGGGAGCTTGCAGCCAATTTAATCAGGGCACCCTCCATACCATCAGGGATCCCGTGACAAAACCTAATTCCGGCTTGTCCAGTTTCTGTCGAGCACATGATCCCCTGTTTGCAATTCTGCTTGGAATTTATGTTGGCTTTAGGAGCCGGGAAACATTCCCGAAAACCCACCACCCGACAAAACATAATTGACCAAAAGCAATTTTGAACTCAGGGGCGTCGATGCCCATGAGAGCAATCCCATTGGCACAACCCTGGTAATTATACCACCGGTTCCGCAGCACAAGACGGCGGAGCCTTTGCTTTCCACGTGGCTCCTCGATGGTGGTGATGCCGCTGGCGTCGTGGTCCAGGGCTTTCCACAAGGCCCGGCAGTTGCCCTTCCAGTTCAAAGCCTTCACCGCCTCGCGGCGTTGCGGGCGGTAGGGAGGAGTGGGGGCCGTCGTGCGTGGCTGTGTGGACGGGAAACCAAAGAAAAAAACCACCTCCCAACACAAACACAGCTAACCCATTTGCAGAACGCAGGTCAAAATCAACCGGGTTGCCCCAGGATTCGATTCTCGTTGGACATCGCCCATGAGTTTGGCACCCATAAGGTGTTCAAAGCAACCCGGAAAAGGGACATGACATGATTCCTAATCTAGAGTTTGCCTTTCACTAAGGTGTGGTGGAGGTTGGGGGGTGGTTTGGGTGAGTTCCCTCCGGCTGGAACAAGGCTTGCCTCAACAATGTCCTCCACGCAATTGCTGTACCCAAGCAAAAATGGAGCATACAACCATCATATATCCACTATGTAGTGGTATGTGATTCATGCATTGGTTGACGGGTCTTCTTTTCATTCACTGTCACTATCAGTTGCTTCCCCAAGTCGGACAACCATGCAAGGTACATTTCGATTATTTCCATGACCAACACATCATTCCAAAAAAGGTAGGAACATGCCTTAGATTCCAGTGGCGATGATGCTGGATTGTTCTGTAGTCTGGCTTGGCTACACGTGGCACCATTGTCTACAAAGCGGCCAGGGTTGCAGGCGCACCTCCCTGCAAAAAGGGGCTTAACGTGGATTCCTCACAACATGTCGGTGGACGTTGTTGGCAATGTGCTCTTGAGACCCTATTTTGCCAGGTTCGTCCCGGAAACATGAAAGGCCTGGACGGTCCCCATTGGGAGTTTCCGTCGGTGCAAGCCGGCGCTACCCTTGCCGAAGCCTTGAAGAGCTCGGAGCGCTGGAGCGTCATGGACCCGTCCAGGTCCAAGGCTTTGCGCCAGGCCCGCAGCAAGTTGCCGAACTGCTTCTTCAGGAAGGTCTGGCCACCAACCCTCCCCCCCCCACCCGTTTTTTCGAGCGGAACCCCTATCAAAGGGCTGGGATGACTCGGCAAAAGAAGGGGGGCAAGGCAAAGGGACGGGTCGACTTCAAATGAGAAATCGAAGGGTCTGCGCCAGAAGTGGAAAACCGGTAAGAAAGGTCAGGGCGACGGTGTGTGTTGGGCAACCCACCAAATATACAAGCAATCTGTGGGGTTGTCAGTGCCATCCACGGACATATGCAGTAGTGCGCGTGTGGAAGTTTCCACATACGGGTAAAGTGAACCCCCCCACTCGCACTCGGAAACCCACATAGCAGAAAACGGGCAAACCAACCTCCTGTCTGCGGTTTATCCCAGTGGGTGACCCACGGAAAAATGGGCACAACAGCGGACAGTCTGGCCGAACCCCCAAGCACATTGCAGCCCAATAGATCCCAATAGTGACTAGTGACCAGCGACAAAAAGCTCCTCATGGCTCTGAAGCGATATGGGCATGTGTCAGATTGGGGGAACTCCAAAAATGGGTGGGGGTCCTTGTTGATGTCCCTTTAAACCAGCCTGAAAATAGTCTCCCAAACAAAGTAATGAAGCCATGGGTGTCTGTTTACATAGGGGGACATCCAAAAATGAATATTTTCTCAAGCCACTAAAGCTAGGAGTCTCTCACAAAAACAAACTCATATTGGAACCCTCCTATAGTTTGCACAAAAAATAAAGATGGATCTCATGTCCACCAACCACGTAGTTAATTCCCTATCCAATTTCATAGCCATCTTATATTTGGTTTGCCTCAACGAATTGGGGACCCCCCCCAACAACAAAAAGACAGAAGAAGAGGTGGTGTTCAGGCGTTCCTTTTGGGCTTCCCCGCAAACCCTAAACCCAAAAGGGTTGTCCTCTCCAAAACGACGGATCCATATTGGCATGGCACCCACACAAGGCCCAAACGGAGCCCGCTGCGCCTTGAAGCTCCGCAACGCCAGCTGGGCCTCCTGCATGCTGCGCCGCTTCAGGCCTTGCACGTATGAGAAGGCGGTGCGAGGCATGACGCAGGGCTCAGTTTTGGTAAAGCGACTTCCTTAGTGCCCAAAGTGCAGGACAGTCCCCTGCGAATTTCTGTGAACGTGACCACCCGAACTCCAAAGTGGCGACATCTATGGCCGCGCCGCAACTACACCCACAGTGTTCGACTCGCGCGCACAAACATAAGCCAAATAAGATGCCAAGTCCTCTTCAACCAGCCTCCGACTCAGTCACTTCAGCTTGCGGCTGACATGGCCCCAGCCTGCCATCTTCTCCGCCTTCTTCTTGGCCGCTTGCTTCAACTTCCAGATCTTGGCCTCTCTGTCCAACCACCTGCCGCGAGAAAGAAGCAACCAGTGTCTCGCGGCACGATGGACATGAACCCACGTCCAAACTGGAGAGACACTCGGAGAAAACATGGAAAGGGTGATCGTTGAACGGTCCTCTGGTTCTCACTGGCCCTCTGTGTCTTGTGTGTGCGTTTGCACACAGGGCCGGAACCTTGAAACAAAGGCCTGCAAACGCGAAACAGCGCAACTTCCTTTATATGTCACTTCGCGCTACTACAAATTAGGACATAGGGCGGCCCCAAAGCGGGTTTGAGCAAACACGATCTAGCATGCATCGGAACCGATGAGATTTATCACATGGGCCGAACGAAACCGTCACCTGTGATTGGAGGCAACGCCTGTTACATGTGGGTCGTGATTCGCCCCAAATCATGTGTCCGCGGGGGGGGGATGTATGAGGATGCATCCCACACTGCACAGCTCTATGGCACATGGTACCCGGGCAACATGCACTGAAACCCATGCCATCAAACGGCAAACATAGAGATGTGTCTTGCTAATGTGTAACGCATCGCATTGCCTAGACAAGTGGAACTTGGTAAAAAAACAAGTCAACTCATATTATATACGAAAAAGTGGTTCATGATTGTTGAGAAGCCACTCTTGTGTCAACGGCCTCTCTTGAGCTTGACTAGAAGTAGGAGCTGCTTCCACTTCGAGCTAATTGCTCGGAAAAAAGGACCCCCCAAGTTCAAACAAATGCAATCAAAACAAAGCCAGGTCCGAAAGACCGCACCCCCCCCCCCGCGCCCCCGGTCCGGTGGCCTAAGGGACTTGGCATAGATGCACTTGCTCGAGGCGTCGTGGAAGCTGAAAGCATCGAAGAGGATCGCTTCCCCGCCTAACCGAAAGCCACTTGCAAGTGGGGATCTCTACTCCTAATCCGTAATCCATAGTGGGAAATTATAAGGGAAAACACCATCTGGCCGAAGGCATGATCGATTCTCAACAATCCAGCCAATGTGGATAGGCTGCCCAAATGCGATATGTTTGTTTGCCACCAAACTATTGCCCAGAACGTTCAACAGTCTAAAGGAAACCATCTGGGAGTGGGCCGTTGCCATCTGATTGAACATGCACTGCCGTTTCAATATCCAGTGTCCCTCCAAAGGGGTTCATACAATTCCTTACATTCTATCCGTCAACTTCATCCACTTCAAGGAACCTCAACATTGGCCTAGTCAAGCAGAATACCCAAATTGGTCATTAATGGAGTGCCCCAGTTCAGGATGGAAGTCGTAGCGGCAGAATCCAAAGGAAACCTGTTTGAGCGGCAATGCACTTCCTAAAACTGAGGACCCGCTTGTTTGTGGGCGCTAGCAGCTGGCAAGTGAGACCCGGCGGGCAAACCCTGCATGACAAACTTGCAGTTGGGGGAAGTGGAGATATGTCGAAATTGTAGTTGGATTGGGCGTTGGAACCTGGGTAACCGACATGCAGAACAACGCAACTCCGAGGGTTTGCCTTCACCACGCGAAGCGCTTTCAGTATTTGAGGATCCCACCCACCCTGCGGCTCCAAGAGAAGGGGAGACCACTGTCTGTTCCATACAACAAGGGGGCTCACCAGAAAGAAAATACCATAATTTCTTGGTCATGGAGGTTCACTTGCCATCACGGAAGAGTACTCGGCAACTGTCTGAAAGGCAAACCAACAAAATGAGAAAAGGTGAGTGCAAGCCAACAAGTTGAACAATGGTTCACGAGGGGAAACGTGAACGCATCACCATCTGCAAGTGTTTCAAAAAGATCCAAACAGGGCAAACTATCACAGCATCTTCAGTAAGTTGAACAAATGACACCTGGGAAAAAACAACAACAAAATGACATCACACTCAGCTAATGACAATAGGTACATGCCGGCGAAAACTCTCCCTTCAGCAAATGGAATAAAGGTATATCAGGTAAAGCCACCGGGAATAATATCTCACATTCAGCGAGTGATCAAGGTAGCCGGGACAAAACAAAACATCCTTAGCAAGTTGACACATGTAAAACCCCAGCTAAAACGCACAGAAACAAATCACCCATAACTACCACATCGAAAAATGGTGCAAGCGGCAAACAATAAACAAACAACTTCAGCAAGTTCGAGCAAATTCAACCAACTGGCAAGCCTGGCAGCAGTTGTTACCTGTTTCAAGGAACAATTGAACAAGTCAACTCCAGCAAACGACAAATGGTGAACACAGGCAACGACTAAGCAAATCACCTCAGCGAATGGAAAAGACACAAAACGTATAAAATGCCAAACACATTAAATGAATCACCTCAAGCCTTAAGAACAACGAGGAAAGGCGATCCTGGGTCTCAAAAGTCGTTCCCACCTTTGACAACCAACAGAAGCCACGTGCCTTGGGTCCAGCCGAAGCCCGCGAGGCTCTCGCAGAACTCGCGCTCATGCAGCACCTGGCCAGCACAATCTGAGCTTGCACACGACGACCTTCAGGCTGTCTGATGTTCAAACCCGCCATCCACGAACTGTCAACCAAGAGGATTATGTTGGACCATTTCAGTGGTGGTTCATGTGTTTCTGGGTTCACTATGTTTGCCCTTCAAGCATCACCCCCAGCCAAAGAAAAGTCGCCTGAAGGTGATGTCCGAGCCAGCCTGGAGTGGCTGGCAAACGCGCACTTTGGGGGGCAAGCTGCTTGTAGCTGCTTCAAGAAGCCTAACGCTTCATACTAGCTGAGTCCAGACTTGCACATTTTCTCGTGTTTACAAACCGCAAGAGAGGAACGCCCCATGTAGGAACCCTCAGGGCCCGTAGTCGTTCGCCTTGCCCGGCTCAGTGAACTCGCTGAAACGCGCGGAGCTGGGGCCTCCTGTTTTTTTTGCGGGGAAGGCGCTAAACTGGTTCAACGAAGTTCAACACAAAGTCCTTGAAAGAAGCTGTGCACCAACCGCGATCGAACCTCGTGCACGATCTCTCGAGAGTAGACTATTCAAATCCTGGTGTTTTTTTGGGTGTGGTAGCCAAAATCCAAAAACAAATCCGTCCGTTGCGAGTCTCGTCATTTGTGAGAAACCCGCTAAAAAGCGCTTATAGCTCGGGAACGCTCCCAGTTGGCGAAAAAAAGAAGAAGTTGAAAACAACTGGAACAGCACGGAGGGCCTCGTCGACCGGCGGGTCCAGTACGTTCACGTCAGCGTAGTAAAACTTGAGCTGATTGATCATGTCCTGTCTGGACGCCGCAACCCAACCTGACCAAAAACAACAACAACTTGCAAACAAAGAAACAAACAAACTGATCCAAAACACCTCGACAAACTCAAGCTAAGTGAACCAGTTGACACCTCTGCTCCGACGCACCGCGAGATCCTTGCCGCCCGTGAAGCTCGAGCCCGCGAACTTCCGGAAGCTGTGCCACAGCTCCGCCTGGCAGTCCGAGTTCGGGCCACGGGTCACCTGGTGAACAAGTCCAATACATGCGCGGCGGGCGTTCTTGGAGGCGCGGGTCGTGCCCTTTTTGGGGGTTGCTTTAAAGGACAAGCAAAAGGAAACCAAAGGGAAACCAGAAAGGAACCAAAGGGAAGCCACTTGTTTTGGAGGGTCCATCAAAACATGTCAACACTCAAACCCACAGCGCGTACGATTAGCGTTCAGCAGGTGATCAAACACCCCAAATGGGTGCATACAGGGAGGTCGGGTGGGTTGCCCAGCATGAATCAACACACTCAACACGATGGCACAAAACACAAAACCCTGCATCGGGATTACAGCGGGTTTGCCTCAGGCAGGGGTGTGATGACTGCTTGTGAAATGGGAAGACTCATCACATGCCAAATACGCTAGGAAACTCGCCAAAGACGCCAAGCTCAACTTGCCCCAGGCGGAAAGCACTGTCCAACAAAGTGGAACTACTCTGGAAGACCCGAGCCAGTGAATTCATCCGCGATGCGCCCCTTCCTCACGCCCAGCTGTGCAGCAATTGAGACTCGCTCGATCTTTTGCACTGCGTTCGCTCGGTCAACTGAGATTATATAATTTGCGGCGTCTAAACTGGGTGTCAAGTAGGGGTCATACCCCTCCCTTTTTGGTTTCCCTTCAGGAAATCTAGAAGAAGTATCGCCTACTTGGAACCCAGCTTAGGCTGCTAAGGAAGCCGTTGCAAAACATCCTTGAAAACGTTCGCCAGCTCAGCAGGTCTGGAGGCTCAGCAGGGGCTCTGGCATCTTGCGATTGCGCAATCCGCCCTTTCTCAAAGATATTCATGCTCTTTTTCAGTAGGTCAAATAATTGAATTTGTGGCTGACCATGGATAACAATTACCCCGGCTTTTGGTAGAGTCTCCTGGCCGCTGGTAGATGGCTCTTGAGGCTGTCCTGGCGGCAAGGATGCCAATGTTCCGCCCCTTACCTTGGGTTATATGCAAACATCATTGGTACAGGGCTGTGAATTCAAAACTAGACACTTTAAGCTATGCACTTCTACCCTGAATCATTCCAATGTTTCACAGCAAATGTTAATGGGCAAAGGGGCAAGTCGGATGTTTAGCGCTTGTTGGGGCCAACAAGTTGGTGTGCTCGACTAGAACTGTCGGAATGCTTCACTGGATGCCAACCAGCGACATGGCCGATTTGCAACAGCGTCCAAGAGGATTTCGCCCAGGCCTGCACTTTCAGGGCAAGCTACATTTGACGGGTTTTTGTTGGTGCGACCGGTTTCCTATGACAAAGCTCACTTTTCACCTTCAGGTTTTCCACTTTTGGCTCATACTGAGTCATGGCAAGCCAACCGGTTAACCAGGTCATGTGGGTTCAAGCAAGAAGAGGCTTGACTGTCCTTGACGCGCGTGTTCCTTTGTTTGATTATTTGAGTGTTTGTTGTTTTTGTTTTTGCGGGGTTGCCACCTGCTTTGCCGAACTATGAGGGCCAAACTATTTGGGTTTGCGGGGGAGGGGGGACCCAAGTTGCCCGTGGAAGAATCTAGACTTCTGCTTGGTTGGTGCGCAAGGGCACCATAGAAAGAAAGCAATTGGGGGTGCTTCATTGTAGAACATGCACTAACAGTATATTGCTTGCTCTTCTTCAAGTCACCACTTCGCTGAACGATGTACCCGCCATCAGGTAGGTGAGAAGATTTGGCTTGCCATGACCAATCATAGGTCAATGAAGATTGGTCATGGCAAGACAAACGCTCACGTTGGAAGAAAAATGAGACATTCTATCCCATCCATGGTTCGTGCAGGGAAGTATCCCATTGCGAGCCTTTTGGCTCTTTTCAAGTGGCTCAATTCTGGTGAGAAACTCCACCCCAATCTGCCCTGCGACCTAATTAGGTCTGGACAATTTGTGGAAATGACACTCGAGATCTTTTCCCTTATTCTTTCCTTGAGGAGAAACAAGCAAACAAAACATATGGGTCATTTCACACCCACCCCACTGCAGCCAACCGAAACTTTGCCCCCACATGAAACTGCCGCTGACTCTAAGTCTTAGTTTGGAGGTTCGGGGGCCGCTTGGTCTGAATACTCGAAATAAGCATGCCCAATTTGCCAACCCACAAATCAAAGTGCCAAATGAAGGGTTAAACACATAGAACCTCAGTTTATAGGGAGCTTCTGGCAGAGTATGTGCGTAACAACGACCCCCACATGAATGAGGCAGATTACGTGCCATGGGTAAAATTAACCCATGACTGAACCTTCATGGGGACTTCCCCCCGGAAAGTTTCCGCCAATGGAACACCAAGGGATGAGCCATCTAAACATCCAACCTGCGGATGGCCATCTAAGCTCTATGAAACACGGCCAGGGAGAAGTCCACTTCGCCACTTCCAAGCAGAAGCTCCTCACATCCCGCCCAAGCGCCGTCCCAAGCGCCGTCCCAACCGCCCAACCGCCTCAGTCGCAGCGCTCGTTGACGCAGCGCCTCGCCTGGCGCAGCTCGCTGAGCCGGGCGCAGCGGCCCGTCCGCTGCGCCAGCTCCGGCACCCGGGGGTGGCCCAGGACGCCCAGCATCTCCTCACTTGGCTCTCGAAGGGAACGCGCCCAAACATGGAAGGGTTCCTTTTTTGGTTTCCCGTTAACACCATATAAAAAGGGCAGCCCCAAAAAAGTGCGGGTATGCTTCTGGTGGTGGTTGTAAATGGAAGCCACAAGGCAAACCGAAGCAGTTTTGGGGGGGGCCCTGAGAAAAGACACAGCCATTCGGTGGGCAAAGCCAGGCTGGAAGCATGCTTGGCAATGGGCTGGGAAATTCAGATTGAAGCTGATTGAGAAAGAGGACTGGTTATGTAATTCTACGGGCCCCTCTGAGACGGAAATCGTAAACGTATCCACTGTTGGCTGCTTGGGGGAAATCGATTAGCCTGGATTGGAATACGGACACTGGTCGTGCTGGCTTAAATGCGCGACAGTAGCTCCGCCTGCAAATAGCTGACATCAACGAGCAAACACATCGGCGGAAGGCAAGCCGCTTATTGCTAGCCCATTGCAAGCCTTTCACGGGCTTTCTGCCAGAACATTTGCGCAGGGATGTTGCACCGCGCATGGGAGAGAAGGGATTCCTTCGGGAGCCAATTGCAAAACCAACGCTATAGATGAACATGCTTCACAAAACGTTTAAAAGGGAGGGAATGCATCAAACATGTGACTTCGGCTCTCCTCGAGTCGCGCGTACTCCGGTTCCAGCTCCTTCTGAAACTCCTGATTTGTTGAAGGCAGGGTCCAAAGGGTCAAACAGTCAACTTGAGGCGACTGAGACCAGCGAGAAACAAGGAACACGTCCAAATGATTGGCGCTATGCGGACTTCTCTCAACCCAAACGGATACGCTGGTATACCAACGGAAAAAGGTGGAGGCCCGTGCCTCTGGTCATTCCCTGGACAGGTCACGGTGAATGATGCCTGCTACATCAAGCATGCTAGCAATTTACGGTGAGCCACAATATTGGCAAGCCGCCTTCAACGCTGCTTGTTTGCGTTTTGCAAAAGTACCGAACGGACGCAGAGATAAGCCGGGGATCGAACGGTCACATCAATATGATTAGCTCTGCGCAAGTGAATGCCGCGCAAATGTCAGTTTGCGTCTGGAGGCTTGCTCACTCACCCATTTCCAGGTACAACAAGTCAATCACGCGCGATTCGCGCGATGAAAGCGCTGAGATCGCCGTGGCAAAACCGCCATTGACTTCGGAGCTCTTTCATCCAGATTTGCCAAAGGTTCAAGCACCTCTGCCGCAAGCCCCTGGCCCCACCCTCTTGATGTTTTCACCAAATGAGACACCCACCAAGGCCTTGTTGGGCACGCGGGGATACCCTGAGCTACTCCTACAAATAATATTAGACGATTCCCCAACACCAAAAAAGATCCAGAGATGTCTCGGATGCCTCCGTCAGCCAAAGGGTTGCCTCTCAAACCATCACCCCTCCTGCCAAAAGGAAACTCCCTTTGAGTTGTGTCCAAGGGGAAATGTGGGGAATCCTGGACTGGAAAAGGGAGGGCAAACCCACTGACCCCAAAACTAAATGACCAATCTAATTGGCGGCAGCCCTTAGCGGCCAGCTCCTTGAAGAGCTTCTTGTGCGAACATAGCCCAGTGCGCTGGCCACCATAGCCTGGGCCAAACCGAAGCCGCCCTCGGAGAATGCATGATGCTCCGATTCAAAGGCGTTGTGGCCTTTCTATATTGAACACGACCTTTTTATAATACTCAGCAAGAATCAGTTGGCACATGGAACCCCAATTGTGGCCGACCGAGGGAACGGCCAAAAGCCCAAGGCGCTGTTGTAGCGGTGGTACCTCGACTTTGGAGGCACCAGGCCCAACCTCCGGAAGAGGAGGCGGTACCTTACTTGTCCACTGCATGGGGAACTTGCGCCCTGCTCAAGAGAGGGGTTTCCTCAGCAAATTACATGCAACTGCTCTGGCAGCTAAGTTACAGGGATGTTGCTTGTTTACTTTGGGAGTTCTCACAACGGGGGACACCCGTTTTGGATGGCTTGATGGGAAACTAAACAGAAACCAAACATATGTTACTGTCCAGTACTGTTTCGACAAAGTCTTTTTGAAGGCAAAGCCCAGAAAGTCGGAAGCAGGTGCCGCAGGTTCCGCCGAGGCACACGCTCTCGGGGTTCTCCCGCAACAGCTGTTGGTGAACCTCCGAGCTGAAAGGGACATGCCCTGTCATTCCACCCGTAAACCGCGTGTCCTCTTTAAAATTAAAACGGTGGTCTAGAAGAAACAAGAAAAGCCGTCCGCCTTTGGATTCCTTTCGGGAAAACGGGGAAGCAGCTTAGCTGCAGTACGACTTGTTGCTGAGGCTCGCATCCAAACAACACACGAAACAGTGGCAACCAGCCTGGACCACATTTAAAAATGACTCTAGAGTATAGACACAGCATTTAAGCTGATGTCAAAATCACATTTTGAGTC